TATCTAATGAGCAAAGGTGAAAACATGAAATTGGTAAAAAGAGGTCTGCCTCTGGTGGGAATGAGGTGATGGTGGAACCTTCTCAAAAATGCTGATAATAATGCTGTAGAAATTCCTATGTTCCCATGCGTTTTTTCTCAGTTTTATACAACTAAAAACTTGGGGTCAACGAAGAGGAGTTCCCAGGGGAAAGATGCAGCCAAGATTAGATGAATTCAGAAGTGAGGAAGGAAGTCCGTCCTGTTGGCATGGAGACATTTTCCCATGGGTCTTACAAACTTTCATCCAGAGCCGGGAAAGAAGAGAGGAATCCTTAGTTGTACATAGCTTTTTTAAAAAATTTTTTAAAAAAACAACTTTGAATGCATAAAGGTGCCTTTAATTCTGTCCAAAGGAAGAAAGGCAAAACATATAATATTTTAGAAGAGGAATAACAAGAGCCTCCTTTCGCAATATGGTTTAAATTCCATTGAAAACCTCTTCAGGTATCAGGTGCACCAGTAGAAAGCACAAATAAAATCCATCTAAGACCTAAGGCCAGTGGTGAAATTCAACTTTTTTTACTCCTGGTTCTTTGGGCATGGCTTGGTGGGCATGGCAGGGGAAGGATACTGCAAAATCTCCATTCCCACCCCAATCTGGGGCCAGCCAGAAGTGGCATTTTCTCCGAACTACTCAAAATTTCTGCTACTAGTTTTCCAGAGTCTGTCAGAACCTGCTGAATTTCACCCCTGCTCAGGGCTACTTGGCAGGTGTAACTGGCAGAACTGAGGTTGGCAGTTCCCCATAGTGTCTTCTGCATGTTTCAAAAGTCACGTATTTCACCACTTCTCCTGCAGCATTTGGAATCTCTGATGCTGAGCATGTCGCAGTATGTTCTTGTGCTCTTTGAAGTGTCCCTCTTCTCTTCTTCTTTATAGGCCGTCCCAACATCTACTGAGCAACTCACCCCCAGACTTCCCTTCACTCTCCAATGCCCACGAATGGCTGGATGCCATTAAGATGGGACGTTACAAGGATAACTTTGACCAAGCTGGCCTGACTACATTTGATGTCATCTCACGCATGACTTTAGAGTAAGAACGGCATCTCCTATTATGTGACAGTACGATTGAGTCTGCAGATAAGCGCAAGTTTGGCTTTCATGGCTACATACTCTTTATGGTTTTGCAATTATGGTATATCATTTGTATTTGAAAAGAGTATGGGTCAAAATGTCCTCCAGGTCAGGTGTGATTTGAAATATAGAGAGGTATTTCTTCTTCAAGTGAATAGGAAGAAATGAGTCATCTTTCTAAAAAGAAAGACCATATCTTTCTGAACATTTATTACTCACTAAAAGTGTTTCAATGCGGACAGTGTGTGCAGAATTGGATATTGCTTCTCTCTAAGTGTGGGGAATGGAAAGCATATATTTGGCAAGAAAGTATACTATGATAGGCAAGGTAGTTTTCTTTGTCATTTATCAAATGTCAGCACAATCAATGACATGATTGTAATCTAAAGCCTGATCTAGAGCCTGATGCCAAGATTAGGTAAATTTGCCTACAAAAGAGTCTATTTTAATATTAAAATTTATAATATTATATTATAAAAGTTTATAAAATTATAAAGTTTAATATATATTATAAATACATTTAAAGCTGAGAAAATCTAGTCCCGGGATAGCGAACAGGTGGCAGGTGGAGTCATTTGTCAGGGTACACAATGGATTGCCCTGTCAGCTGGCCAGCGTGCACAAGTCAAGTTCAGCATTTTTAAAAGCCATTTTTCACCCTCCCCAGGCTCCAGAGGCTTAAACCGGCCCTACGAGCAAACCGGAAGTCAATTCCTAATCTTCCGGTTTGCCCGTAGGGCCAGTTTTTTGCACTCCCAAGGCTTCTGGGAAGCTCCTGGAGCCTCCAGAGGGGTGGGGGAGACTGTTTTCACTCTCCCCAGGCTCCTATAAAGCCTCTGGAGCCTGGGGAGGGCGAAAAAAGCATGCAAAAATAGGGGGAGCACCTGTCATGTGTGCATGCATGCTGGGGGAGTCGCACATTGCATTATGGGTGTGGCACACCCGCGCACAACCCCCCTGCGCTCCCCCCGCTTATGGCACGCGAGCCAAAAAAGGTTCGCCATCATTGATCTAGTCTATTTTGAAGCCCTGAATTCCCATCCAAATATTATCACGATGATCT